TTCTTCTAAAGTTGTTTTGGGAAGACAATTTCACATCTCCTCCGCACTTAGCAGAGAAATTCATCAGCCTGCTTCAACTTGGATCATCATGAGAAAGAGTTAATGGTTCTCAAATAAGAGAAATGCTGGAATTGGGCTGGTTCCTTCTCAGCGTCCCCTGGAATGGCAGACCAGTGACGTGCGTGTCTCCCCTGGACAGGGGACGGGCTGCCCTCTCTGCTGGCTCTTGGGGACCGCATTCCATCAAGACTTCCCTAACACAGCCACCCTAGTAATGTCCTCTTTTCAACTTCTGGGGTATTTATTACAGTATCAGGAGCTGCAAACATTTGCCTATAAAAAATCAAACATTTGATTTCATAACAATTTTTCCTTATAAAAACCTTCTAAACTATTACTTAATATGTTAGTTTCTTATAATTTCCTTAAGGTCAAGGGCTATCTGATGCTCCTCTTGTAGTCTCTTCGGAGCCTGGCGGAGTTCTGTGCACAGTATTAACACTTGTCAGTTGCCTGCCTAAGGGATTCTGAGGGTGTGATTCTCTTCTTTCTGTTGGATGCCGTGAATTCTGACCACTCATTTTACCAGTGGCCGTTAACCCTGGAGCCATGGTTTCACTTAGCACCCAAGCAGTGTGGAAGAGTCACAGATGAGAATCCAGGACAGGGGAGGTCAGGGAAAACAGTTTCTTCAGTGTTTAGGTTCTAAAGTTACTTCTGTTTCAAACACCTCCAGCAGAATCTCCTCTTGCATAGCACACGATGGTGACGAATTCCACACGTTCGTGTGGCCAGTGAAGTACAACACGATGTCGTGGCAGCGGTGCGCGCGCGCGCGCGCGCGTGTGTGTGTGTGTGTGTGTGAGACTAGGTGTACCACAGAGTATCTGCAGGGAGTGCTGGAAGCAGGCCTACGGGTTTTCACGAGCTGAATATAAGGACAGAATGTTTTGGATGTGAGTATGTATATGTTTTTCTCAAATTCTGTTCCTAACATTTTTTTGGACAATCTTTATGTATTGGCAGAGTAACTTTTCCACAAAAATCAGAGGCAAATTAAAGAAATAATTTTTGTTTTTAAAACCGTATCAGAGGGGCCCCTGGGTGGCTCAAGCAGTTAAGCGTCTGACTCTCGGTTTTGGCTCAGGTTATGATCTCGCGGTTCATGGGTTCCAGCCTTGCCTCCGGCTGTGAGCTGACAGCGAGGAGCCTGCTTGGGAGTCTCTCTCTCTCCTCTCTCTCTCCTCCTCCCCCACTCTCTCTCTCTCTCTTTCTCAAAATAAATCAACTTAAAAAAAACTATATAAGAAAAAGAATGAAGTGAAATAACTATATCACGTAGTTGTCACACAGCTGAATGACACACAGAGCAGAAGTGAGATTTGAGATGCTGAGTGCAAGTAACGATCGAGAGTTTTACGACAAGCTAATTCTGTTTTTTTCCGATTAAAGCAAAATCTTGTAACTACACTCTGCTTTCACTTGTTCCTATCCCTTTTGCCTACAGACATGATCCAATATCTTCATCACTGAAAAGCCCAACCCAAAGTATAAATAAATGATTATAAAGTTTTTATACCAATTAGATCTTCAAAGAGAGAAAAACAGAACTAGTGGATCACCTAAGCAAACCTGGAATTTAGAATTAACTTAAAAATGTAAAGTTTATGCCTAGATAAAAATCTTTCCACCTCTTTACAAAAAAGGTAATTGTTCTACTATTAGTCAAGCAAATTTACACAGCCTGAGGAATCTTGTGTTCTCCTGAAATGTGAAAAGAGACCTGGGGTAAATGTCACAGGAGACCTGGGGTAAGTATAACAGGAGTTCTGGGGTGGGTGTGACAGGAAATCTAGGAGAAGTGTGAAAAGAGACCTGGGGCCAACATGACAGGAGACCTGAGGTGAGTGTGACAAGAGACCTGGGGTGAGTGTGACAGGAGACCTGGGGTAAAGGTGACATG